ATTTCAAAGCTTCTAAGATTATAATGAAAATGTGCTAAGAAATGGCAGTAAATTTTAATATCTGACAGATTTCTTCATCCTGAATATTTTTCTGCTTTGTCACTCCAAAATATTGCACTGGATGGCTGAGACAAGTCTTTAAATTATGACCTTGCCCCCCTCCCTCATCCAAACACATCATTACAAATTGGGCGGATAAGCCACAGCAGGGAGTAGAAGGTTTATCTCTGTATGGACTCCACTAATCGCCCTCAGCTGTTACCCCTCTTTCTACAAGAACTTCCGATATTTGGTGATTTCCTGTATTCAGCTGTTAGCCCCGTTCATAAAAGAGTTGCTAATATTCTGTGATTTCCGGTATTATCCCGACTTAGCGGCTAAGCCTGGCAGAAAGAGCATTATGTAGAATTGAGGCACTCAATCTGACAAAATAAGACAGATGGGACAAAAAAAATGTAATCTTTGGTAGGGGTAATATTATAAGACTTAGGATTTACCTAGTACTTATTTTATAATAATACAACATGGAGCAGATGTTTTAGGTCACACCAATTTGATGATTTTGTTTCTCAAATTTGACATAAAAACTAAAAAAGTGAATATGAAATCTATATACAGTACCTTGGTAACACACATATTTAGGGAGTGAACTAGGGTCTTTTTCTCAAAATTTTACTTTTTAAAACAAAATGTCTGGGAACCAAGCAATGGAATGTGTACATAGTACCTTAGGTATGACTTATTTTTACTACAAATTGTGGGAAAAGATAATAATTATGAAAATGTTCTAATTTTCTTTTTTCAGTAGTAGTATATTTGGAAGTTTTTTGCTTTCTTTCTGGAATAATACGTCAATATATTGACAATAACCATGGTTTCAAACACTAAACTCAAAGATACAAGATATTACAGGTACAAAAAGATGTCCGCTACACATAGGATTGCTACTGTTACAACTAGCCGCCAAATTGTTACTCTTCTTTAATCTAGGTCAAAACACTTGAATGTTTCCTTCACATTCTTAGCAACCAATCAGAAACTCTCTCCCTACCTCTCAAAGAACCTTTTCGCTTTTAATTATTGGCCAATTACGTCAGAACAATACGCCACCATCCACCCGTACCACGCATCAACTTTCCAAACTCACTGCGCCGCCATTTTTTCCGCAATTTTGTTAATTAAAGAGCCGTGGTTTCAGTTGTCGAGAAAGCGTTTGACAAGTTTGCACAATGCTTCACCTACTTGTTCACAAGCCGGAACATCGGCGGGTATTTTGTTGTTGTTTACACAATACCAGCTGCAACCACCAGCAACGGCCCTTTGAAAGATCAGACGCCAATTTTCCGGAACGTGCGTTACATACGGTGATCATGACCAACATGGTTCAGAGTTGGCTCCTAAAAATGGGCTTATCAAGTTAAATGCTTTTGCAGCCAAAATTCAGGAGTTCAGTGTAGCCTCCAAACTGGGGTTTTGGGGGTCTTCAGGGTCTTTGGGAGCTTTTATGTGCTATTTTCTGATTGCATATAGACAACATAGCCTGCCTGGTTGAATTAGCCGTTTTTTTTTAGAACTGGGCTAATCAGAAAACAGCCGAAGACCACCAAACCCCCAGTTCTATAAGCCTGCTACGGAGGCTAACTTCAGTAAGAGCATACTTAATGTAGACGTCCGAAAGCCATAATTGTATCAGAAACAATGTTGTGTCTACAAAAATGCAGAGCATTTCGGTATCCATAACATAAGGATTTGTAATAATTAGGAATGCAAAATACCGGTCTCCAATCTAACTCAATAGTATCAACACTTAAGCAGAGAACTTTATTTATGCGATGGTGGAATGTTTCAATGACTGCAAATATAGAACAGTGTTTGAAATGAGTAACAAACTAAAAAGGTACACTGACTGGCCCAATTGCTTCAACTGACCATTCATAAACTTAAACTGAGACCCTGAGAAGCCAGAAATTATTACTCAGAAGGCATAAGTCCGGTGAAAACCGAAAAAAGCTCACCAAAAACCAAACACGGCAACTGTCTACCGCACATCCTTTTTATCAGTAATGCAATTTGGCAGTTGGAATCACTGGAAAAAATTAATGAGGTCGTCAGAGAAAATAAAGCTTCAGATCTATCAGAAAGTGACAGAATGGTGCTGCCGTAAAAGAACAACATTCTTGAAGGACAAAATTACTTCATCTTCTATAAAACTGGCAGCTTGTAACATCTCCTGATTTTGACACAAAATTCAGTCAGCTGAATTTATCCAGGTAATTATATGAAAAATTAGACCTTACCCTATTAAAATTCTAACTAAAATTTTAGCTTATGTTTTCAAATAAGTATTCAGGTATATGCAAGGCCATTATATATTAAATATAGTGAAATACCAAACGTCATTTTTTATGCTAAAGAAAATTCTCAGCATGGTTTCACGACTGTTAGTGTGTTACACCGAAGGGTGATTATACCGGCTAAACCGATACAGATTGACAGCGAAAGATCAGACAACGAAGAGAGGCAATCAAGAGGATGTTCAATTCGGCGTGCGACAAAGACACCGCGAGAAAATATCACCGGATGAGCAAAGATCAACGCCCACTGATTTGAGGGCTCGTGACACATGTGGTCAGTACACAGAACAGACCAGCTTCAAAGGGTCTAATTTGTACATTCGCAGGGCAATGCTCTTCCTGTTGTCAATTTGAACATCGGGTACTAATTTGTTGTCACAAAATGCAGCGAAAACCACTGCATTGTAAAATCTTTTTGCAGGGCACTGCCCTTCCTGTTGTCAATTCGAACATCGGATACTAGTAATTTGTTGTCACAAAATGCAGCGAAAACCATTTGCACTATAAAATCTTTACTGCCCTTCTGTTGTCAATTTGAACATCAGATAACTAATTTGTTGTCACAAAATGCAGCGAAAACCACTGCACTGTAAGTGTAAAACCTTTTAGCACAAATGCAGGGCAGTGCCCTTCTGTTGTCAATTCGAACATCAGATACTAAATTTTTTGTCTCAAAATGCAGCGGACTGGAGAAAATTAAAAACCACTGTGCAAAACATAATCCATTTTTGGGACACTGTTTGGAAAAACCTGTATACTTCAGGTGGTTGAGACAGAGACAAGAAGTATATATAGTAATATCATGGAATCGTTTGAGACATAGACAGTTAATGGTAAAGGGAGCAAATATATGGGATTGTAGACAAGTCACATCTAAAAATATGAAGCAACGAACTATATAAAAAAGCTACGTTATGTATATATGTACGGGACATGTAATTCAGCCTCCAGGCTGTGAAGCGTTTCAAATAAAACCCCTCATATATATCTTTTCAAACAGAAAGTTGTTCAACTAGTCAATGACATACATGTAGTAGCAATTTTCATTTTGCATTTCCAACAGTTGCTCCTAAATTATACACCTAGGCCTTTTCACCATTTTGACAATCTATCATTTCTATATTATGACTGACACAAAGACACTATAAACTACAAATCCACCGTTGCCATTTTTCCTTCGTTTCAAGGATTCAAACACGTCACAGCAGCCTTTGTGATTGTCCCGTTAACGGTCTCCATAGCTCGCCGCATGTTGGGACGTCCCAGAGGAATATCGCTTCTGACAACACGCATCTTATCCGGCTTTTGTACGCTAAGTATTCCTCATCAATTATGCACGAACTCTAGTAATCCGTCAAGACCGGTTAGGAAACCGGGGCTTCTTTTTATTCAAGCCGATCGCGTTTACGACAAAACCGCGTGCCGTGACTGGCGTACGATTGAGGGAACACGACAAGTCGCTGACCCGCCCTTATCGAAAACAATCACCTTGGCGTTGGTTAAACACTAGATGTCGTTACGTGTACGTTTTATGGAGTTAACAACACCTAACAATGTTATCAGTAATGAAATCTGGGCATATTCAAAATCAATAGTCTATGTTACTCCGACAAAAGACAGACTGCAATATCTGATGTATGAAAACTTTCTATCTGCTAAAGAATTGTCAAGTACCTATCATGTACTATTATGTACCTACACTCACTTTACATAATAGTACATGGAATAAAGTACTGTAGGCCTAGACCTGTACTAGTATGTAGCAAAACAAATTTGGCCAGTTAACTATAAGCTATATATGTAGATAACTGTCTTTTTTTTAGTGGTAAATAATGTTGTCTTTTTGAACCTCCTTGGTTTAATCTAAAAACAAGTTAGACTCTTACAATAGTTTTTGTCATTTTCAAGTGCTAAAAGTTGTCAATATTTTTTATCCTTGAGATGCAATCTACCTCATAATCTTTAGTGTAAAAAACAGTCCACTAGCTAGTGTTTTATTTTGTTCAGGTACAAGTACAGTAGTGCACCAGCTGTCCAGACCTGTACCTGAATGCATTTACAGGCACAGCCCTGTCTACAAGCAAAAACTGCAAAGACCTTTTTAATTAACGAAGTTATCAAGCCTATTGTGTCGTAGAAATTAAGTTACTCTGACGGGCTTGTAGATATCATCAGCTCCGTGTGTTGTTGCCAGGCAACAAGGTGTGTCGTCCATGTTTACATGCCCGCGTTATCGCTAGATATCGTCGTTAATGTGTTAAAACACGCAAAAACTTGATGTCGCAATATACACCACCAAAATACAACCGAAACCTGTAAAAGAGTTACCAACACAAATAAGGACCACCTGGTCATTATGTAAGAAATTTTTGGTGGTCCCTTGCAGGTACTTTTCCCATTGACATATTAAAGATTAAAATTGCTGATTATGGACTTAGTGACCACCTGTCTACATAGAACAGATTTTATAAGTCACGAGAGGTCTTCTTGGCCAGTTTTGACCAATTAATTACATGAAAATACGACAGGTTACTGGTGTTAGCGAAAAACTGTTGTGTTTTTTTACCATAACCACCGCAAACACGCCACCCAAATGATAAGGAAATACCGTTTTTGGCGGCCCGTCATACTTACATCCCCACGTACCTGTGAAAACGTCTTTTTCGTACGCGGCGACCGCTGTTCCTGCAATTTGGACGCGATGTGTTCGTAGCTGAAAGAAAACAGACGACCAATGAAGATAAATAACAATACAATAACCCAGGGCTTAGCAAGGTTGGAAGTTCTTGATAAACTATACTGATAAGATTGTTAAGTACACAAACTAAAGAGCAAATATTTAAACACCATAGAAAACTGTACGAAAGAGACAGAAATTTAAACCAATCCTACTTCAATAAAGAAAACTTGATACACAATAAACCTAAAAAAATTCAACAATTTTTATCTTAAATTTTCTTTCTATGATTTACAAATTATTTTTGTAACACTCTTGCCATAAAAAGACTTATATTAAAACAAAACATACAAATTCAAATCTTTCCAAAGTACACAAACTGAATTGATCTATTTGCCAAGAGTTATACATACAAGAGGGCCTGCAAGCCCTTTTTCGTAAGGCGTAATCAGGCCGTTTTAGACTTCGTAACTCGTAGGCAGCCTCCTTAAAAATCAACGTAATTCGTAATTGGCCATTAGCCGCAAATCGTAAAGTCGTAATCAGCTCTGAGACTTTAACGTAATTCGTAATAGGCGGCGAAAATTTTGCGTAATTCGTAATCACTACCCCCCTTGCAGGCCCTCATACAAGTATGTTTTCTTACACAGTAGCCACCTTCAGTTTGATATATGGATACTTCAATGTTTCTATAGACCAAAGTCACCGTGAAAATGTCAACATGCTTCTTAAACATTTGTCTCTGTCAAACTCAACATTTTCTTGGTCAACAACTGTCAATTCTTATACGTCCCTTCAGACAACTAGACAAAACGTTCTTAAAGTGTTGAGACAGTTAAAATCCTTAATTAAACTCGTTTTCAACCGTATTTGGGGAGCTTCTACTTACACGCAACATACTATGTGTTTTTGAAGATTTATATGTGAATACGGTTCATGAATACAGAAAGATTTCAACAATAATTTTTAGCAAATTTGGGGTAAGTCCCAATACTTTGATAGTTAAGTGTTGGAAGTTAAAGCTTAGTCTTTATTTCATAATGACTTGTACAACTTTCATGCTAAATAATATTTTTTTAACTTTAAACATAGCAAGATATCATAGCAAAGCTTTCAAATTTGATCAAGATTCAAGTATTCTGGTTTTGCTTTTGTAGCTTCATGTCAATCTATACTTACCGACAATTTTTTTCCACCTATGTGATAATTTGCACATACGATACCGTTATATAAATACCTTCCTACAATTGAGATTACCATGAACAATGGTTAGGAGATACCACGGGTCAAACCTCGGACATAGGTACACAAGTACCATGGGAACAAATGACCGTTTCAATGGGTCAAACCACTTACACTAGTTACAGATATGTTTAGGGGCGGATGATTATGTGTGTCATCACTGAGGCATTCAGCACAAATATCCTACACAAAACCCTAGTCTTAAGGTTAACTGTTTACTTAGCTGAATTCTTGGGACATGACTTAAGTTTAACTTTAAGAAACATTACGTAATGACACAGAGAAAAGTTATGCTACATGTATGAAGCTACACTTACTGCAACTGAACTGGTTTATAGTTTTTGCAGTGGAGTTTTTATTATATTAAGAACGCACAGAAAAAAAATGCTATGTATGACTATGAGCCTACATTCAACTAGAATAAAAAATGGGGTATAATTTTTAGGGTCAAGTCTTTAAAAGGTACCTCTTCTTATGAGTTCACACAGTTAATTCTCCAATACCAATGAAGTGACAGTTAACTAGAATTTCAAAAATGGGGTATGATTTTTGTGCTGGAGGCTTTAAAAAGGCACAACACTCTTCTACAAGTACCATGCGTTATGTTTTTTTTATTTTTAGGGTCAAGTCTTTAAAAGGTACCTCTTCTTAAGTTCACACAGTAAATCCACCAATACCAATGAAGCGACACTTAACTAGAATTTTAAAAATGGGGTATAATTTCTGGGGTTAAGTCTTAAAAAGGTACAACACCCTTAGAACTACCAGTACCATGCGTTACGTTTTTTTTATTAAACTTCACGCAGTAAATCCACCAATAGCAAATAAACCTACTCCACTTTGCGGAACCTCTCGAACCCTCCAGCCACGTATGTTTTGCCATTATCGATGGCCTCCAGTTCCCGTACGCGGTGTCCGTGTGTCGGCGTCCAGATATTCCGCACGGCGCCAAACCGTGCTCCCAGACCGTTCGTCACCTAGACAATGCGAAAGTTCACATCGCACTGGTCAATTTAAACTTCGAGATGAAGAAAATTTTCCAGACATCTTTTTTTTTTTCAAAAACATAAAAATTTTCCTTTAATGAGCATAAGACTGTATCTATGTATGTACACTGTACATAGGTACTAGGTTTGTTACAAAGACTTGGTGACACAAATTCTAGTTCTAGAACATTAAGTATGTCAAATTACAATAGATCACAAGAAATCACTGCTTTTTACTGTAATTACTCTATACATCATAATCCAGGTCTATTTGAGACATTCAAAGACGAACTAACATGAAAATTCGCATGGTATGAGAAAACGAAAACAGTTTTTACTTTAGATTATCATCATTTCTGTCTTCACTTTGATTCTCCTGAAGATTAGAAAAAAATCACAGCTTTTGATAACTTCATATTGTTCTAGAACTGTCTCTGGCTGTTGTTTGTTTACAACATTCTGTACAGAAACGTCCAAAAGATGACAAAAATCCTAGAGTAAAGAAAAAGAAACGCAATCTTTTCGAGGAAGTGTTGTTGAGATTTTGAGAAAAACACAAAATCTACCTGGTTGAGGAAAGAGTCGAAGTTCCGGACTTGCTTTTCGTTGACGACAAACTTGCGCCCTGGGAAGTACAGATCGCCATTTCTGTAGACTGTGACGTTCTTAGCCGTCGGCTGGACCTCTAGATGCTTCATGGTCGCCATTCTAAGGATCTTTCTGGTCGAAAAATTAGGAAAATCGAGGGAGAATCTCAGTCCATGTCTTGACGTCTTCACGGCCGAACCAGGCACTGCGCGCACGGCATGCCGGGAAACCAACCCCCACTGTTTATTTCTCCGGCGTTTGTTTACCTAGCGTCGCCATGGCGACGGGGTGACCACAAGGTTTTGACGTGTGATTGTCCGTGAAAAACGGTTGTGTTGGGGACGTATAAGCTGTCGTGGAACGCGTGGATCGGGTTTTATCAGCCTATTTGCACGAGGTTTGTGTATTTTGGCGCGTGCGGTGAGAAATATCAGCGTTGCCGGGCGATTTAGGAAGGGGCGATTTGAACCCGTAGGATCCTGGTGTGTTTAAAAATTGCGTAACAATTAAAAATTCCACTAGTAGGATCCGGATTACGTCACAATTAGTCATGCCATGATCACGATCATTGGCTGGTTTCTGAGGCGAGATCGCGATCATGTTTTCTGGAACTGGAGATCTGAAAGATCCTGAAATAAATGCCAACTTTCCACTTGTAGTGTTGAGTGGGTTGTGTGGTGTAGAGTTTATCATGCACTTTTACGGAGCAATAACAGTAAGGCTATTAACATGGTAAAATGTTAACCAGAAGTTATTCAAGGCGTCCAATGAAATTTCAGGGCGACAAAGCTGGTTTTTAAAAGTCAATTTTCTGGTCATTCTTATAATTATGTAGTAAGTTGAACCAACCCTATCCCATAGCATACTGATATCTGTGAGGCAAAAATGCTACTGATACTGACGGAAAACGGTTGCCTTGAAGCATGCTTGAAGTTGTAACGTACAGTAACAGTATCGTATCGGCTGGTTCGAGCTATTTATGGGTGGTACCCAAAAAAATGAAGAGAAGCCGCCCCACGAAACGTGTTTTAGGACTACTAGTATTTCAAACGCTTGATGAAATGATGACGAAAGTGTGCTAATAAATAGTAGAAACGTGACAAGTTACATTCATAAACTATAAAGATTATATTTGCGAAACATAAGGTTAAGGTTCACATGCCCTAGCCTGACAAACTACTTCACTGTTAATTCTTTTTCAAACACATTCATATACACAGTGACCATCCCCTGCAACTCTGTACGTCCTTTGCTATATAATGTAATCCAACATCACTGTTACCATGGTGACAGCCGTCAGGTGCAGGTCATTGACCTTACTTGTAACAGAGCAAAATAATTTGTTTTCCTTCTACCAAGGTAAACTAAAGAAGTTTTGAATGGATTGCCATGAAACTTGGTAGGTTGTTAGGTCTTGATGAGACCTAGAAATGATTAGATTTTGGGCCCCCTGGTAGCTTTCCAAGGTACTGCAGCAGAATTTCCGGTTTTGATATCTCATGATCTAGACATGCTCGGGTCATGAATTTTCGATGGTAGATAGCTCTTGTGCTTAGAAAGAAGTCATGTGAGTTTAGGCCCTCTATCAGCTTGTTCTGGAACTGCAGGGCAGTTTGTTTAAAAATCTTCAAGGGAGGATAACCCAAGAACCGACTGACGGATTGTCATGATGTTTAGTACATAGGTAGCTTTAGTGATGCTTGACATATTGAGATGATAATTATGCAAATCAGGAGCTGATTTGCATAATTAATGATATCATAAAACCCGATGGATACCGTGCATCTGCTTGGAGGTTAGTCGCCACGATTGCCCAACTCCACACAAATCAAAAAGGGTAGGACGACGCGTTAATGACATTACCTGACGCTCCAATCAGAGGGCTCAGGTTGCACCCGCCTAATTAACTCCTCCCGGCCCGCTGATTACTTCCGAAAGTAAGATGATTACCCACGGGGGTTATTTGGGAAGGTTAATACGGGACACAAGTGAGTTATCTCCGCGTAGGTGTAGGTCTGATGGTCCCCAGAGATGATGAAAATTGTCTTGTCAACACAGAGCGAAGTCGGCGGTGTCAAATGTGTGGACAGTCACTCCACAGAGATGTACGCGATGTACAAAATAACAAATAAACTGAACTGGTAATCTTGCTTGAAGTACAGCCAATAGCAGCTATTCCTTGTTCCCAGGGCCATATATACGTTCTATTTTGCCAAAATATAGCAGCCTGGGATGTCACCTCATCAAAGCATAGTGTATTCCGGTAAAATTTACCCCCCTCTTTATGTTTTACCCTCCTTCAGTCCTTCTATGTGATTTTTAAAAGAAACTACCGTGAGCGATGACTAGTCTCTGTGTCCTATATAATTATATATAGAGAGAGTATATTCCTTTTATAATTTATTTATTTCTTTCTACATTTCTTAATTTCATTGTTGTTCTTAATTATATCATTTTTTCCGGCTCTCTTTGTTTCACTTTCCTTGTTTTACTTTTTCCCCCACTGAATTCTGGTTTACATATGGTCAAAGTCAAAGCAAATAGTAGTGTGCGTTTTTTTCTTTCTTTCTTTTGCTTCGGTAGTAACAGATTTAGGCAACTGTATCCGCAATTCAGGAATCCCATATGGTCTAGTGGTTAGGATTTGGCGCTCTCACCGCCAAGGCCCGGGTTCGATTCCCGGTGTGGGAAACACTGTTTTTATTTTCTACCGTGAAATTTAAGAAGATATGTCCGTTTGCAAACGTCATACGTGGACGGCTTTGACGGACAACAAATGTTATTTATGCACCTGTCCGTTTGACTTGCAGCGCTGCAAAATTTCGCATGGGGCGCCCTTGCACAGCAAAATTTCTTAACGTCCTACCAAACTTTCCACAGGTGTTCCCATAAATGAGATGATGGCCACAGCAAGTAAATTGTATGGATGACATCCTCCTCAGACCCCAAATCTAATGCGATAGGGGAAAAAACAAGGCGGGCCAAAAAAACAAGATTCAAATTTTGACATCATAAAGCTTGTTAGACAAGAAATGATACCTTTATTATGCTGTGTTTATTGTCAACTATTATAACATCCATTTGACACTGCAAAAGAAAAGTTTTGAATGTTTTTCATTCAGTGAACATCACATATAAAAGGAACAAAATGCATCAAAGTAAAAGCCTCGTCATGTCTCCCTAGGCCTCTCTTCATAGTTATCTGCCATCCACCTTCGGGCATGGCAACAGACATATTTGCCCATTTTCGGCATGTTGACGTATGACCATTGCCAGAGGGCAACAATTTTTTTTCCAAAATCAGGTAAAAATTAATGCTCGTCTGATGTCATCCATAAAAATTATTTGCTGTGGCCTAATGCCGAAATCACATTCAAACACCTGTTTCGGCAAGCACGCACATGCTCACATCCTTTCTGTAGTGGAAGTAGACAAGCAAGGAAAGAAAATACCCAAGCCAGAGACCATCTTTTTGGCGCTCTAGAAGAGATTTGGAAAAGATTTTTGTCTTCTTTTGCCATGGCGGGGAAGAGAAGAGGAAAACGCGGTGGTGGCAAGAAAGGAAGCCGACCTAACTCACCAACCGAAGAAGGGGAAAAGAGACAAACCTCACCAAAAGCGGTACGTATTTGAAAATGTCGGGCGCTCTTTCATACGAATAACCACCTTATTTTGCCTCACATGCTGGTACTAGATACTTTAAAGGTAAAATGTTTCATTCATTTAATGTCTAGGGTCAGGCGTGCGTAGTCCAGTGGTTAGCGATCCTGCCTCTGGACTATTAAAGAGGTTGGGAGTTCGAATCCCGGCTGATGTCGCTCACCCGACATGCACGCTACTGTTTAGGGTCGCAGTCCTTAGGACGGGACGTTAAGCCGTGGTCCACTGTTCATTGTGCTTGTCGAAAGAGCTAGGGGAATTTCCCCGGTACAATAGCGTCTGTCTTCTCTGTCACGACCAGTGGAAGATTAGCTCTTCAATGAGCTAAACTGGATCGAGATCTCTTTCTTTCTTTCTGTCACAAAGCAAAATGTACGTCGCCAAAAAGTTTCAATTTCGTTTATATTTTGAAAGAGAACTAGATCAATGTCAAAAGAAAAAATGAAGAAACGTGACCATGCATGTGCTTTTGAAATTGATATGTCTATCAGCAAAACTTATAATTAGTCATGGGATAAAAATCCAGCCAGTCTAGCAAGCAAATGTATGACCAATTGAAAGAAAATTGAACGGAAGGACCTAGCCTTTCATGCTCAAATATATCTGAATGACTACATACGTAATTCCTGTCAATTCAACTTGAATAACCATATTCCAGCCCTACTTGGCTTATAAATATCCCACTTAGACACATTCCACCAAACACTAACTTTCTTTTAAAGCCCTCAAAACCCGGATATTCAAAAGAAAACGGCAACTTTTTGACGCACATCTCAACCCCAAGAGCGCTGGATAGCACTTCAAAACTGGCACGGTGTCTGACGTTGTGTAGGAGAAACTGCTTGTGGTCTGCAGAGGTCGCGGCCTTATTAGCCAATGAAGAGTGGCGAAGTAGTGAGTGGTTCCGCATTATAATTTGTCACGAAGTCCTCGAAAAATTCGTAAACCATGAAACTAGCTCGGATCGAAATCGTCTTGTGGTCTTCCTTTAATTGAAAATGGTCCAAGGGTTCGAGAGGTTTTGAAAAAAAACTGTATAAGCTAATACAGTACTGACTTGGCCATTTTACGGTTTCAAAATGCCAATTCCAGTAATTTGCATTGCAAGTAATCCTACAAAATACTTTAACTATTACCCGAAATATACTCACTGCCTTCAGAAATTATGTAGGTGACTTTATACGAAAGCCTCTGTAGCTTTGTCGTACTAATAAATATATTTCCCTTAGTTTTTTCATAGTATCAGGGTCTAAATTAGACAATTTCGATGTGTACACTAAAACGTTATGATAGAGTCTATTTCTAATTACGTATACTGTCAGCAAGCATATTTTAGAACAAGTTTATCAGTTACAAATGTAAATTGTTCATCAAAACTACATATCAACGTACATGTGAGTCGTAGGATTTTTGTACATTAAGTTTAAACTAAAAACACACCTTAACTGGGCTGTTACGTTCGTCTTACGACGTTGTCGTATGATTCGAGTGTCGTACGTTGGATTTTTTTAAGCAGACTGTGACACAACCAAAGGCCGACAATTAAGGATCTAAGACAGCTTTTCTGTAACAAGACAGCTAAAATTTGTACAACACCGTGTTGCACGATTGTCGCAAGAATGTCTGTTTGCAATCGTAAGAGAATCGTACGACAAGTTGACAACCCAGGACCTAACTTTGCAGCGTAATTTTTACTCACCTTGGACGTCTGCTCCTGCTTACATGTGTGCCGTACGCCGCTTCTATTCTCCTCAAAGTCGGCCCAGACGTTCTTTTGGTAAGTTTCGGCATCTTGGTGGTCAGAAGATACTCTTTTGCACCAGCATTTTTCATTTCTCTCCCTTTCTAACGCCACCTAACAGCGTTTTGTCAGAGATTTTCATACTTTAACAGGTTTAGAGGGTGGAATTTAACCCTGTCCACTCTCTTGGGTCTATCGATAGCGGGAATTTGAGCCATTTGGTGGTCGTTGAAACACTGAGGGTTGGTTTTGAAGAGCTCTCGGTATTCAGGAAAGCGGGACAGGTCTTTTGAATATACTACAAACAACTTTGCACTGGTCCCACCCACGTCGGCCCTTTTGAGTCCTGAGTGATGAAATCACCTATATTTTCGAGAAACACAAATGTTTTTTGTTTAAATTGGAGTGGATTCTATTGCATTTTCATTATGCATTTTCATTTCATATCCATATTTTTCATTGAAAGAAGTTATTTCACAACGTTATGTGGGTTTCCTCTGTCGCTAGGATTTCAAAGAAGACGTGACAAGTCAAAAGAAACGTTTAATGACACTCAGAAAAAGTAAAGGACAAAATCTTTAACCTGTATATATCTTGTATTGTTGCTTGAAAAACTTTAGACAAGTCAACAGCGCCACCGTGCGATTGGTAAACAAATTGCAAAAAAAAGTTACTTCATAATTCCCACAATCCCACGCGCCCTCTTTTCACGAAACCAAGATGGCGGTAAGTAAATCGACGTGTTGGATGAATAAAAATCCGCTTCAATCCAGGCACTAAAAGTGTTAATCCTTGCACCAAGATACAGTGTAAGAAGCGAAAAGTTCTGATCTACGATTTGGTGGAGAAATTCGCTATCTTATCCCCCTGATCACCACGAAAAAGTGACATTAATGTGACGTATAATTTTATCAGATGGTTTTCCCCGGATAGTGTGATGCCCCGGCTTGCATAAATTTTAAACAAAATATACACAAGAAGCTTGTCTCTGTGTCTTAAGACAAGATACATAATCCTAAAAGAGATCGAACAGATCTTACAGGCAAGAGAAAGTCCGGGAGTAAAAGAAAATGTTGCTTTTCGATGTGAGCTTTAAAAGTGGGAGGGGGGCATGTCGGTAGGTCCATCATATGGACGACAGAAAGTTAGTGTTTTACTAGGAGCCCTAGAAAGAATGGAATTCCAAGCACAATATTGTGATCTTCGTGATTTCATGTAAATACTAGTAAAAATGTAATTTTGACAAGAACAACTATAATCGTGTCCCTGTAAATTGGTAATGCTCAACAGATTTTTGATAGTAAGATGTATGAGATGAATTTTTGTCTTCTGAGCAGTACTTATTTAAATCTGTTGTCTGATAGATGACCCATTGCTAAAAGACACAGAAGGTTCAATGGTTAAGAAATGTCATTTTTCTGTAAGGAATCAAGGTATCAAGTAAATTATGTTAGGCCATGTTGATTTGATTATATGGATGACATCCGCGCGCGCATGAATTTTCGGCCGTTTCCAAAAAAAAAAAGTTTTCAACCATACCGTAAATCGTACAAAACAGTTGCAAAATGAGCAAAAATATACCATAAGTTACAAAAAAATTTATAAGAACTATACCAATGTCGTAGAATGCCAAAATCAAACGAAAAAAAGACGAAATTGTAAAGAAATGAACTTGAAGACTAGATTATTCGCCAAACCATATTCTATGCCATTTGCTCAACCCTAGCCTCATGGCCACATAGATTTCATAATGAAAAGAACTTTTTTTTTTTGCAAAACATTTTTTTTATTCGCACGCGCGCATCAGTTTTGGGGCTCCCGGAGGATGTCATCCATATAATCAAATCAACATGGCCTTACTGATGCAATATAGGCTGAAATTGCAACTTGCTAAACCTTTTTGGAGGAATATCTGATCATCAGTCATTCATCCCACACATGTACTACGGTACAGATCATTTATTGGCTTCTTTTTCACCTGTAACCGTTTATCTTTGCAGTATCTAAACATCATTGTTGTACACAATTCAGTTCTCGACAAATTTTGAAATTATGAAAAATTGATGTAGCCATTTTGTATGTATTTTGTATATCTTATAAGATGGAATCAGATACTAGAGTAGAGTTAAGTCTCTTTTTATAAGAAATTGTAGCTTAAAAAAGCTACAGGAAAACCTTTCACTATGTAGTACTCAACTTATTTCGCTCAAGTCTGATAAAAGAATGGGAATGAACAGCCGGTCCTGTGAATCCTGTCCGGTAGATGCTAGTACTAGTAGTAGTAGTACAGTAGTAGTAGGATAATTTTATGAGTCATAAGTTTGTAAAACAAACGTACAAGGAACATACAAGTTACAACCGTCTGGTACAATACTATAGCAAGTTTTTTTCAACTGGAATGTTTAAACTCTCCACAGGAGAAGGAAGTGCGCCGTGAGAACCCCATGCGGGAGTTGCGTATCCGTAAGCTGTGTCTGAACATCTGTGTGGGGGAGAGCGGAGACAGACTCACCCGCGCAGCCAAGGTGCTGGAACAACTGACCGGACAGACACCCGTCTTCTCCAAAGGTACGGCACTTAAATTTGAATGGTCAAATTACGTAATCAGCCTTCTCAAAACAAGCCGGCAACAGGCGAAAATCACCGCCTACTTTTGTGTTATTTAAGTAAAACATTGTAGTCTCCATTACAAAGCCTTCTTCAAAGCTTGCCTGCTACATTTTTATCTCAGCCAGCTACTCTAAATTTTTGTGAGAATGCTGGTAATGTCAGTTACTGTTATTCATATGAATTCTTATCAGTTAATAGAATATTCGTCAATCAGTGACTTTTTGAAAGTTGAAACAAGTACCTCCAAATTTCAATTTTCATTTTGCTATAGAAGGGATAAGGATTTTTTTTGGTGGTGTTTTAAATTTTCAATTGAATTGAAACAAAATTGTAAGACAGTACAGTGTACATGGAAAACTCAGTCGCTGTGTCAGAAATTTGTGGTTGAGAGGTCACCACAACATTAGATCCTAGTGCTGCATACCTAAACTCACATTTAGGTTCAGGTCCGGATTCAAGTCCAGAGGTTAAGGTTCAGTTCCGGACGTGTAAGTCCGGACCTAAACCCATGGCATATACAAAATTGCATGTTGGCAACCTTGCAATGTTGTCTGGGTGAAACTTTGGCCACATAACATGGAGGCCGGTACTTGATGATACCCGATGGCAATGTACATTTGCAATCTACGGAAGGTTTTAGGTGGTTTGGAAAGAAAAGGGGTATGTGAAATGGTCTCTTATGGTAGTAAGTCCGGACTCGGTTTTTGACTTTTAGGTTTTTTTGGACTTGAACCTAAACATTATTACAAGTCCGGATCCAAGTCCAGTGAACCGGTATGCAGCACTATTAGATCCCATGGCTTTTTAATTTGATGAATTTTACTACATATCAACTTGAAGAGAAAATGTAGGCAATATCCTATTGGGCATCCTATTAATTTTCCTTCTTGTCTCTCCCCAGCCCGGTACACAGTGAGGTCTTTCGGCATCCGTAGAAACGAGAAGATCGCCGTCCACTGTACGGTCCGCGGCGCCAAGGCCGAGGAGATCCTGGAGCGTGGGCTCAAGGTCAGTTGAGGTCAAGTTCGCAACGAGTTGCACATCAAATGGTCTGGACGTAACTTTTCATGACAATGTCAAATTGTGTTCTAAGCACTGTATAGATGCACTAGCAATCATGCACAAGAAGTGAACATGAAAACATCTTGAAAGTTCATCTGTGTTGGTAGTTACATGTTTAAAGTTAAAACTTTTGGTCCAACACAAAAAAGTTCTCTCACCTAGAGCTTTCGACCAGTCACTCTGGTCTTCCTTTTAATAGACTGACCCAGTGAGGCTTGTCACGTGGCTTCTTTGAAGCAACATTTTTTTGTGTTGGACCAAAAGTTTTAACTTTAAAAAGTTCATCTGTGTTGGTAGAAATCTGTGTTGGTTGCACAGGCAAATACTGTCATTATGAAACAAGTTTGAACTGTAATTTTCAACAGTTGAAGTCCCTTTCTTGTGTTGGAAGTCACAGTTCAAACTTGTTCCCAATGACAGTATTTTCCTGTGCTTGTTCAAGAAGAAAAAAACAAATAAGATAGCCAAGTAAAAAGTTAATAAGAAGGGTGAGTTTCGAACGGTCCTGGAACATGTTACACACTAATAAAATCAACCTCTAGTTAGCTAGTTACATTGCCAAAAGAAAGCTCAATTCAATTTTGGTTGATTCATTGAAAACAGTCTTGTAGATAAAGCCAAGTTGTCTTACAAGTAAGTTTTGTCCCTCCTTGCAGGTGAAGGAATACGAGTTGCGGAAGAACAATTTCTCGGCCACTGGCAACTTCGGCTTCGGCATTGCCGAGCACATTGACTTGGGGATCAAGTATGACCCTAGCATCGGCATCTACGGTAAGTACTGCCTGAAATATGGGAGTCTTTTGGTCCATCCTCTACTACTGCCATAGAAAAATAGTGAATTCTTTATTTCGTTTGTCCTGTTCTTTTTAGAGCCTCACAAATAAAGTATGATCTTAGCATTGGCATCTATGGTAAGCACTGCCTGAAACATGGGAGTCTGTCGGGCCACCCTGTACTACTGCCATAGAAAAACAGTGAATTCTTTGTCACTGTCGCTGACGAAAGGTAGTGGATGCTACCTGAAACGTCTGACCATTTCCAAAATCATATCCAGTTGCTTGAGTAACTGTTTTTTGGCACTCCTTTGTGTTTTGATTTAGACTCTCGCAAAGTTATGTGTAGCATTCCTCGTAGACTCCAATCTGATGGATTGAAATGTGCAAAAGTACATGGAGCTCATTTTGTGATAAGAACTTTAAAGCTTAACATAACAATTGTGACATTTTTCTCTGTGACAGTTTTTGAAAAGGTTTCCTTGTGCTAATGTATTTTGCATGCATTTGTCAGACCATGTTTTAATTTGCAACAGATTGTTAGCATGTTGGGAAAGGCTCATGTTGCTGTGATTATTGCACAAGCAAATATTGTTGTAAAATTCACAAACGTCCAGAACTGATTTTTGTATTTTATCCAGTAGTAGAGTTTGAATTGTTCAGTATTGTTTACCTAAATGACTAACTTCAGCAACATTTTCTGTAAAACTGGTTGCACATCTTCTCTGAGCAAATTTTGTTGACTTGTTTGTTTGTTTGTTTACCCCAGGAATGGACTTCTACGTGGTGCTTGGCCGTCCTGGGTTCAATGTGAGCTGTAAGAAGCACAAGTCCGGTCGTGTTGGCTTCAAACACCGCATCACTAAGGAAGACTCCATGCGCTGGTTCCAACAGAAGGTCTGGCTTACAGCTTAAAAACATTTCTTTGTTGAAATGTTGTAGCCCAGTGTTCTAGCCAGTGTGCCTTTCCGTCATTTGACAGAATTGTGCTGCTCATGACATACAAAGAATTTGCCCAATCTGTCATCTTTGGCAGACAAAAATCAGCATGTGAAGATGACGAGAGAGATCTCATTGAATTAATCTTAGTGTACCAGCAAAATTTGCTAGCGTAAACATAACCACTTTTTGCTGGTCCCTTTAGAAATAATTTTTCCCCATTAACACAAACATTAAGAACCCTGCCTATAGTGACCACCTGTCCACATAGAAATGGATCTTATCGGTCCCCTGTGGTCTTCTTTGGCAGTTTTGACTGTGAAGCTGAGTTACATGTCATGTAAAGAACATTGCTGCCTTGTATATTATTATCTTCAATTTGTTGTGTTGCTAACTTTGTAGATACTTTAGAATTTAGAAATAGTCTGCCATTGCTACAAGTACAACATTGTAGTGTCTTTCCAACCTTTACATATCCAATATTTGTAGTCTTCTTTTGAATATGTGTATGAAAATTAATCTTTTTGTTTCTTTTCCCTCTGCAGTATGATGGCATCCTGCTCCCCGGAAAGTAAACACCGACCACCAGAGGAGGACGTTCTGTCATATTGTCTGTAGACTCGTGTAATAAACCAAACTTCTATATACACAACATTTCTGAGTCTTCTGTGTAACTTTTGTGTGTGTTACTATGTACATTTGCACATGAATGAGTGAGAGAGCGTGTTTGTTTATGTATGCCTGTGTCTGTGTATGTAGGTGTCCATGTGTATGTAATATGCTGTGTCTGTGCAAGTGTGCATATGCTTGTGTGTGTCTGTGTGTCTGTGTGTTTGTGTCCTGTATGCTTGTGCAAGTGTCTGTGTGTGCCTATTCCAGCCATTCATTTGCTACATCTGACGTTCAGCCTCGTTCATTCATATTCAATGATGACAAGACAAGAATACAAGTTCAATCATCTATTCTAAACAACAGCAGTTGGGTAGTACAAGCCACTTCACAGATAGCATCAAAACTTACACTGTCACTCAGAAAATTACTGCCAAAAACACCTCAACAGAAAGAATACTTAGCTTCATCTATATAGAAACTTACTTTGCTATGGCTTTTGCCCTAAGATTAACAGTATACTAGTACATCTTACATCTGCTCCGGCATAATATGATAATCTTGGGTAATACTATATCTTCCCAATGTTCGAAAGCGAGTGCTGATTGTATGTCCAGTAATATCCATTCTAATCTTCTACAAAATCACTTGTTTGTAATGGACATTGTAACCCGCGTGATTAGATAATAGAGCCTGGAGCACAACAAGCAATAGAAAAAAATTCACCATGACTAGATCACTAATTATACTAATGCCACACCGACTTAATTTTATGGATGACATCCACGGGCACATTGATTTTCAACAGTTTAAAAAAAAAAAGATCACGTCCACCGAGGCTCTGGCCTGGTTCTAGGCCTGGGTAGTCCATGGTAGTTTGCGACAATACGGAGCCGGTGGTAACTATGGAGGATGGCACCCAGGCTACCGAAGCTCCACAACGCAAGAACTCAGTACATACCTACAGTGTCGATTTCATAAATTCTGCAAAAAGCCAGCATGTGTCAGCTTGTCGTATACATAGCTATATACTGTCGCAAATTCACAATACTAGCTTTGTATTCCTGTGGTTTAGTAGCATTTTTATTTTTGGCTGGAATTTTTTTTATTTGCCTGCGCACACAAGTTTGGGGGTCTTCAGAGGATGTCATCCATAAAATTAAGTCGGTGTGGCCTAATCAATTATAATAATCTCCAAGCAGAGGTTTAGGCATTGACCTATTTTGTTAGCGGGATGTGTGTTGTAATCAGGCATTCTTTTTTGTACTTGTATCATTTTTTGCCAGCCAAATGAAATAATCTTTGGGTGTAATATCGGCTACTGCCCTCCCAGTGATATTGTTTGGCCAATTTGACTGTCTTGTAGCCACCGAAACATCTGCTTGAAAATATAAAGCATATAACATAACATTCACCAGCCATCATTCAAAATGTTAAAGTTTACAGATATGGTGCTCTTATACAGAAGCCTCTTCGTAATTGTCACAAACAATGATGAATGTACTTTGTCTTCAATATTTATGGAGTATTAAGTCACAAGCAATGTCACTCTGAAACTTCTAGAAAACACAAATGTAGTACACACCCACACTAGCTTTGTACATACATTTTTAACGACGAGCCAAACATTTTTCACCAGAAAATAGGATATGCCGAACACATTCTGATTTTTCTATCACTTCATTCATTTATCTATCAAAGATTCTTGTGTAGTTATTGAAGATCACAGATAACATAAACTTTTAGATAAATGTTAGTATGCTGCTGGCAGCCCTGCAGTTGACATGGGTGGTGGCCTGGCTAAGACAGTTTAGCTTGCTAACATAGAGTAGTTAGCTTGACCAGTAATGCAGAAAGTACTAGGAATGACCGTTCTGTCACTGAACCCTTGATGAACCATGTACTGCCTGATAGTTTGGACATTGGCTGGCAGTTACTAGTAGTTATTTTGTTTTTCAGTTCATTTTTACAAAGTGCAGGTCTATAGTGGTTTATTGGGCTGCCAGTGTCAGTGAACAACACATTTTCAAGGCATATTTCAAACACACAAGTGGCAAAGCTAGTTCACCTGGGCTCTGAGAAAAACATTTCAATTTGCATGCGAAATACAGATTTAAGTAAACCCTTTGATTCAACTTTGACAGGGCTGATTTCAAATTTGAAGAAGGCTGACTTTGCAGACTGGAAGTTGCAGGTACTGTAGTATACGTATTGTTATAATTTGTGTAATCTTGTTACAGTTAGCCTGACTAAATCTGCGCTCCTAGCGGCCGGCCCGGAATTACACCAGCCGCCTGGGCCGGCCGCTAGGAGCGCAGATTTAGTGAGGCTATGTTACAGTTATCTGAGTCATTCTTCATGGTTACAACGTTACTAGTACATTTAAAACCAGTATGTTCATCTTTTAAAAAAAAATGACCAGTAAGATGCTAATTTGTTCCTGTAATTGGTTAGATAGTCTGGGATATTTCATGTAGCTGTGGGGGTCAATGCACCATTCAAGCTGCTGGGGAAAAAAGTCACAGTGGGGCATCTCCTTATTGCTCTTGCCCAGGGTCTAAATTGGGGTCTTTAATTCATTAAAGTTGCTGTGTGCAAACATTTATGTGCTTGCTACACAGAATAGAACTAAAAGCCCCAATGTCAATGATAAACCCTTTTTCAGTGCTCTAACGTCCTTGATCAAATGCATGATCAAAGAGATCACTGGCGCACTTCTCCATACGTGAAATCATTACATCCAGGACTATGAGCATTCTTTGCATGTTAGATGAAGCAGTAATAGCAGCACCAATTACAGGAAAAACGAACGTCACAACAGTCTCAACTACACCAGGCATCATATTTAACTCCCTACAAATGGTACTCACAACTGCCACTGCCTCAGACCCACAGCTAGCAAGGGTATCGTCTGTCCCGGCCAGCAATCTTGCAGACACGAACCTCTTGAGATCCTGCGGATTCTTCTTGGTCATCTTGGCGAGTTGTTCCACCGTATGTTCTGTCAGGTTAAAGGCCTCTTTGTAGCTTCTATACGCCGAATGGAGGGCATCTGTAATCAAGGAGGGACAGGTTAGTGCGTATAATAATTTTATATGACTTATGTATGAAATATGAACGGCAACCTACATGTAGGTAAACGTCATTAAGGAAATGATACAGATGCATTTTATTGCAAAAAATTATTTCAGATCCCTAAAACATCTTAGAAGTTTAAGAAAGGGAAATTTCCCTTTCTTAAACTTTTAAGATGTTTTAGGGATCTGAAATAATTTTTTGCAATAATCAAACAGCTTCAATACAATTTCATCACAATATTCTTCTGCATACCTTCGAAAAACCTGTCAAGCACACCGTTTTTCATGATTTGCAAGGAATATTTGGTTTGTTGCTTTACTTGGCTTGTTAACGAATCCCAAACAAGAGTTCCACGATCTCATACCTTCGCCAAATGATGCCAAATTAACCCTTGCGGTTGACGGATTATACAATTTTAATCATTGATTTTGTAAATAAGAGCCTCATTTGCATGGATTATATCAATTGATCATATTCTCCACCCAATGACAGCCTTATCTTAACAAAAAGGCTGTTATATAGCACTTCCTCATAGATTATGCAAATGATGTCAGTACCCAGGAAAGCCGCTAGGGGGCCCAAAATCTAATCATTCCTAGGTCTCATAAAGACCTACCCACCTACCAAGTTTCATTTCAATCCATCCGCTGCTTCTCGAGTTATCTTGCTAAACCACACACAAACACACACACACACAAACGCTACTGAAAACATAACCTTCTTGGCGAAGGTAAAAATTGTAAATTAATTTTTCTTGTGACCTACCGGGAACAGAAATAATGCCAACGAATGGAACAAAGGAGCCTTTAGTTGCTGCCCAGGCAACGTTTGCCATCTGGCGCCTGAGGATGTCTCCCCTTTCCTTGATGGTGCCCTTGGAGAAGTCTCGGCAGGTGGTGATGACAGCCATCTTCTGAAAGGCACTCAAACCACCGAACATGGCCTTCCTGAAGCTAGGTATGTCCCATTCGCCCTTCAGCACGCTGTCGTACCGACCGCTGATGATGAAAACATCTGTGGCTCGCACCTCGCCTTCCCATCCCACCTGCTTCAGGACGCTGATGTAGTCCTCGCGAAGCTCTTCCACCAAGTTGGCCACCGCTTGGTCCTTTGTCTTGCCCTCAAAATAGTCGGGATCGTCGTTCTCCTTGTCCTGCAAATCTTTGTCGAACTGTGACCTGACGAACAGAACCTTCTTCCCCATATCCCGGGCCTTCATCCCGATCTGCACGGCGTTGTGCTGGATGCGCCCGCTGCTGAACACCAGGAACACGTGGCATTGCTGCATCTTTTTCCCATGTTTGTCGAGATACTGCTTGATGTTGAAAGCGTGTTTGTCTGAGGTTCCTTTCTTCAGGAGGACACCGGGGAAGTCGACGAAGCAAAGGCTGTTTGGGCGATTTGGATCAGGATACTCCGTGACTTCCGATGTAGTGTGACAAAGGCCGACTTTAGCTGCACCCTTTTCATTCGGCTTCAGCTCGCGAATGGAGTTGATGAAGGTGCTCTTTCCTGCTCCGGGGTCTCCCACGATGCCTACGTTCACTTTCTGCTTTTTCCAAGCCTCCACATTTTTTGTTGCGTACTCTTGAATCTTCTTCAGTAGCTCTGTTTGAGCCCCGCCGGGAGCAGCAGCCAAGCTTTTCAACACTTCCTGTTGCTCTTCGTCAAATTCTCCAATCATCTCCCTTATGATTGATGAAGAAATGGATTATAACAAAAATGATTTAATATAAATAATTTGCAGTACATGTGCCTTCGACAACAAATAACAGTTCTTTAACTACGCAAGATATGCTATCATTTGCATACAGTCAAAGGTATACCACCTCTACATGAGGACCATCTGGCTATTGTGACCACTAGTACTTTCTGGTGGTCCTTTAGATAATTTCACCACAATCTCAACATCCCCGCGCGACGCCCGCATAGAGGTAGAAGCGGCCGGATAAACTAAACTAAACTTTAGATAATTTCTCCCATTGACACAAACATCAAGTTAGAACAGTTACCTGTCCACAAAATAACAAATCTCGATCCCCTGAGTGGTCTTTTTGGACAGGTTTGACTAATTTGCCAATAATTTTAATGTTTGATATAATTTAGAAATTGAATAATTCAAAGAATAGGGCAACGGATCGTCGTGATTTTTTGTATGACAGGTGGCTTAAGTGATGCTTGATCATTAAAAAAATGAAAATCATTAAGCAAAATGACCTGAAATAGCATTCAAATTAAAGATGGGGAGGAGCCTATTTTGCAATGTGGTATTTTTGGGAGAAGTGCATTGTTGCATATAAGGGTCCAAATGTAGAAAATTCCGTTTGGAGGGGAGTTAAGGTGGGATGGTCCATGTATAGACAATAGTAACTTTGAATTGGTTCATTTCTGGAAAGGTTCATTTGTAATAGTCATTTTGCATGAGAGAGGGATGTAATATGCTACATTTGCGCGCAAATGTTGCTTTTCTAGTTCAGTCTTGAGTTATCGTTTTCCAAAATCTCCAACACCAACACCATATGTATATCTATAGAACGAAAGATACATATATACCCATGCATGAAGCGTAGAGTCAACAGCCTAAGCAAAGAAAAAAAAACCCAGGGGGCATATTCAAAAGTGTCCTTTGGCGGACACCTACCCACAAGTTAAATCATGATACATCTGCAACATTTCAAGTACTTAGTAATCCTGTACACAACGTCTCCTCTATAAACATGCATAATTCGAAGTAAACCACTATATATGTCGTTCAAAGTTAAAATATTACTACTTACACTGTTTTATCCTCCTTGCTACACGCCATTGCTGATGCTGTGTAGTCACCTAAAATACGAATAAACAAGAGTTCCGCGATCTCATACCTTCGCCAAATGATGTTAACCCTTGTGGGTGACGAATTATACAATTTTAATAATTGATTTTGTAAATAAGAGCCTCATTTGCATGGATTATATCAGTTGATCATATTCTCCATCCAATGACAGCCTTATCATAACAAAAAGGCTATTATAGCACTTCCTCATAAATTATGCAAATCAGGTCAAAATTTGAATAAATTATATTTATTGATGTTCACCTTCACTTAACTTCCAAATGTGGCAAGTATGAAATTCGGGGTGCGGCAGTTACAACTATGGAATTATAAGAATTTGCCATTAATTATGCAAATTAGGTCCTCATTTACATAATCTATATCCTCAGATGTTTTTCTCGTTCTCAAGTAGATGTCACAAGTGTTTCATAGTTCTATTATCGAACAAAGCAGATTTATAGAATTTCCTCATTAATTATGCAAATTAGCTCCTGATTTGCATAATTGCCATCTGATTATGTCAAGCATCACTTCAACTACCTACATACCAAAAATCACGACAATACGTCAACCGGTTCTTGAGTTATCGTCCTTCAAATTTTTTTCAACAAATGCTCCTGCAGTTCCAGAACAAGGCGCTAGGGGACCCAAACTCATGTCACTGCTTCCCTACCCCAAGAGCTATCTACCAACCAAAATTCATGACCCTAGCATGTCCAGAACACGAGATATCAAAACCGGAAGTTCAGCTGCAGTACCTAGGAAAGCCGCAAGGGGGCCCAAAATCTAATCATTTCTACGTCTAATGAAGACCTACCCACCTACCAAGTTTCATTCCAATCCATCCACTGCTTCTCGAGTTATCTTGCTAAACCACACACACACAAACACACACACACACAGACAAACGCTACTGAAAACATAACCTTCTTGGCGAAGGTAATAACGTTACTGTATTTTCCATTGAACGCAAGGTACCAGAGTAAGTATTAGTTAAGGGTGGGTGGAGCGAGTTTATGTGGATTTGGTACAGCCCCGCCCTCCCAAGGATTTTGTTGGCATCCCGAGGGCGGTTTTTAAAGCACTCATTTGAATTTTCCTAGAAACCTTACCAACAACATTACAGCTTGTAGTACGTCCTTTTGTTCTCATTCATAAGCTGAGCTACTTTTCGCAGCCTTTATAATGTGAGATATGCATAGCGGTTGCTTTCTTGTCATATTAGCCCCACAATGCCTTCTGTTTTTGAGTTGAAAAATTCTGGGTTGTCTGTTAAGACAGCAGTGATCAAGAAAAAGTGATCACTGACAATATACTTTATGAAGCACGCATTAAAGGACTTCAAACTAGTGTTCCCTGTGTTCCCAGCCGTCGCAAACAGCAACAGGAGAGACAGCTTCTTGAGCTTGTGACTCCTCATTATATTTCTGAAATGAATCATATCTAATTCGAAATGATAAATTATTAATCGTGATGCACTCTGTGATATTACTATTGTCGCCGACGTTACCTTAAAACGTGGCATTAAAGGTATCAAATTCTATTTCAGGGCGGCGAATCAAAACGAAAAACTAAGGATGAGGACACCTGTCTGATATTGACATTTACTGTCATTTCTGAAGACATTTTCGTCATCATTTCAAATTCTAAGCAGTTGAAATAGCCCCAAAACAAGCTACGTGAGGCGCCTCTTATTTACGGGTAACGCCCATGAATACAATGTAGCTGTAACCAGCAGCGGCAGCCTGCGGTACAAAACAAGCACATCGCATTCTTACCCCAGAGACATCAATGTACTTTGGAATAGGATTCAACTTACTACATGAAAAGAATTACCAGAAAATTGACTTAGAAAATCCCATTTTGCCACTCAGAAATCCCTTTAAGTCGTGGTCCACTGTTCATTTTGCCTGCCGAAAAGAGCTAGCTAGGGGAACGTTCCCTGTGCAGTGAATCTGTAAATTTTGCACATGGCGTCTGTAGTCCCTGTCAAGACGAGTGGAAGAGTAGCTTTTCAGTGAGGTAAAACTGAATTGCGATCACTTTCATTTTCAAACTTTATCCAGCAGTACCGTTCGAATTGTCTATGAGTATCGTTTACCTGGATATCTTACCTTCATAACCACATGCATGAACGCGTACATGTACAGTTTGTGTTATCTAGACTACAATTACAGGTTAAGTTCGTAGAATCTTACTAGTACTTCTCTTACCGTAGTAGACCGGTCGGTTCAGTCGTATAAGCGTTATTCCGTACCAAAACAAGGCGTGTCTCACACCGGGCCGTCTAGACTTTGGCTTCTTATTCCAAGGTCAACACCTGCGCTATAGACAATGGCCATCTTCGACGTCATTGATCGTGAGATTCTCGTGCCCATCGCAGCATGGGATGCTTTGTTTGTAAATGAATTGGTTCTGGGAACGATTGGGGCTGTTCTATGGTATTCATGGGGTACGTGTCTGGCTTGAATGCTGAAGCCACAAGCGGACGATCCGAGGGCTATTTACTGTCATTTCTGAACACATTTCACAGCCGTTTCACATACTAAGTACTTGTCTTTGATAATGTTGTTACATTGAAATAAACTTTGAGATTAGAAATACTTTCTTGAGGTTAAATGATAAGTTAAAGAACAACATTTGTGAAGCAAATAAGGACAAAATAATGGCAACACTGATCGATCGTTATGATTATTATTTTAAATTGATTAATAAGGCCACACTAATTTAATTTCTTGGTTAACGGATTTTTTTTAGAAAAATAATGGAGCGGGCGGGCGAAAAAAACAGGCCTCATGAGGCCCAAAATGGTACGATATAGGAGCCATGAAGTCAACACACCAGGCTGGCTCAAAATCTAAACAATGAATTTTGAACTTTTAATGATACCACTGCATTGAAAGATGGAATAACTGTAACAACTAGGAAGAAAAGGACTGTTTTCAACTGTTCTGGGCAAAATATGAGCATTTTGCAGTTGATTTTGAATTTTTTTTGCAAATCAGAAAAAAATGAAGCGGCGAATCCGTTAACCAAGAAATTAAATTGGTGTGGCCTAATCAAGAAATATGCCAATCCTGGTGATTCATTGTCAGGTGGTAGGACCACGCCGCTGCAAGATGGCGAGTCACGGAGTTTGGAAGCGGCAGGACTCGGCGATTAAAATTCGTCTTGGAAGACGTGACATGTCCGTTTTAGGTGGTGAGCACTACTTGACGTTGTCCTATATATTCTCGTGACTCTTCTAAGTGAACATATTGTAAAGAAACGACGCAAAAACACAGAATAATGGCACTTATTTGCGGCGACGTTTCCACGGGTTTAATTCTTAGTAAAACGGCCGCTGGAGGGCGCTACTTTCGGTACCCCCAAAAGTACCAACTTTGAAAGTTTTACATTGCCAAAATATTATCTGTGCTCGTTGACAAGTTGAAAAAAATCAAGAGATTGAATCTCCTAAGGGGATCGGGAAAAACGCTGGAGAACACTTTGTTTATGGATGTAAAGATAACGTTATATATCAGCATTTAGCACCAATTTTAAGTGGTGCACTTTCTATACCAATTGCTAGGTGGCGCTTTTAGACCGTTGGCGGGAAAATATCATGCACACGTTGTTGTGTTGATTTTCAACAACAGCAGTTCGTCCCAGTTTCTTGAGCGAACTTCTCCGTGTTTGGATTGGATGTATAATTACGGGCCTACAGCAGACTATAGGATACAACAGTGCCGGGCTTGGTGAAGGTAACAGTAACAAAGTGACAGAATATTGTGCTTTGTAGAGTGGAAGAAAATGATGTCTATGATAGTATGATCATTTTCAGGGTGGGAGGGGGGCACAAACTCAATTCCGGGCCAGCTTTATTTGATGGTAAGTTGTTAAAACTATTCAGTCATTATGGCATGTACAAATACATGTCACTGTGTCAATTTCCGTGAGTGAATATTTGTGATATGATGCATTATTTTATCTTTACAATAACATAACTATATTATGATTCCTTTGGAGACCTTATTGAAGAGAGCAGAATTTCAGAACCTCAATTATTTACTATTGTGAGCAGTTAGCTCCTTGGTTTAACTTTATGTTTTTGAGTGAGTGATCCCTGTTTTATGGCCTTTTATCCAATATATACTGTGTGAGTTTCTTGAACATCTATATAATTAGAATGACAGTCCTGTTTTCATGTGTTTTTTGACTTTGACAATTGATTACATGATCATAATATTTTATTGATATGCTCTTTTTCAATACTGGCCACTCATAATTTACTAGTACCCAAGTAATCAAGCGTTAGACCAAATGTTGTGGGTTAGTCATCATGATTATGCATACTTGAGAGCTTCAACTGTTTTCAATGTTTTCAAAAGTCTTTTTTTTTCTTTTTACAGAACAATTAATGATGGCTGTAAAATACGTTGAGTTGTGTTTGAAATGCATTTCCATCTGTCATTGGTATTTGACTGAGATATTGATGTTTAAATTACTAGTAGCATTTTATCCCTGTTTCAAATGCAGCATTACTATTGGTAATGTTAGTAGTTTGTTGTCTATAGCATAATAGGCTATGATGTTTCTTTAGCTGGCTTGAATTTTGAAATGAATGTTCTTTTAGTGTGTAACGTTACCTACATAACTTGTCATATGAATTGTTTCAACTTGTTGTGGTGTCTTCTGTAACATGTATTGTTTTTGTGTGCAATTTTGACTGCATGACAATAATTGTAATTTTGCTGTGCTCTTCTTTTGCTTAAGAAAAGTCAATGTTTTTCTTTTAATGCCCACCATCATTATTATGATCATTCTTGCATACTCTTTAACACCTGATCAAAGTGAGGAAAGTCATGTAAAGTGCCTTTCCCAAGGGCACAAGGTAGGTGACATGGCAGGATTCGAACATGGGGCCTCTTGATTCTGATCTGAAAGCTCTGTTGTTGCACCAAATGACCCACATTATGTTCCATGTTCTCTTGTCTGATGCAGCTGTTGTGTTACGCCGAAAGGC